TTGTTGCTGACTGTGGCTGTCACGAGAGGAAGCCTTGCCTGCATTCAGGCACAGGGGGCCATGGAGCCACCTCAGGATATCACAGGGTCTAGGTGGAGGTGGATGAGGGAGGAGAAACAAATTTGGGACTTGACAGTCTGGAACACAACAGCCAGTTTGTTCTGCAGACACTTTCTGTTCTAAAATGGCACGGCTGACGGCCACCAAGCCGAGAGCCTCTGAGGAACCAAGCAGTGTCTGCAGTTTGCTACTTATTTTTTTTAATTTTATTTATTATTTTTATTTTATGTGTATGCATGTATTGCCTGCGTGTAGGTAAGCGCACCCGTGTTGTACAATGCCCATGGAGGTCAGGAGAGGCTATCGGATCCCCTGGGACTGGAGTTACAGACAGTTGTTAGCTTCCATGTGGGTGCTGGGATTCGAACCTGGGTCTTCTGCAAGAACAACCAATGTTCTTAACCGCTCTCTAGCCCCTGCTACTTATTTTTAGGGGAACTGTAGATAGAAATGGGACAGAGTAAGCAGTACAGCCTTAGAAGACGACATAAAAGAGCATTTTCATGGTCTTAGGGAAGAAAAGAAGTTTTTATTTTTATTTATGTTTTGTTTTGTTTTATGACAGGGTTTCATATTGCCCCAGCTAGCCTCAAATTCACCATGTAGCTGAGGATGACCTTGAATTTCTGATCCTTCTGCCTTTACCTCCTGAGTGCTGGGATTATATATATATGCCTACCACCATGGCCACCCCATTTAGAAAAGGAGTTCTTTAAAAAGACAAAGGGGCTGGCAAGATGGTTCAGAGGGTAAAGGTGCTTGCCATGCAAGCCTGGGGACCTGTGTTCGGTCCCTAGAATCTATGTAAAGGTGTAAGAAAACTGACTCCACAAAGTTGTCCCTGATCTCCACACACACACTGTAGCACACTCACCCTTCCTTCCTCACCATGTACACACATAACAATAAAGAATTTTTTTCAGCTTTTAAAAAGACACATCAAAATCTCATCAACTTTGCTAACCAAAATTTAAAATTTCTGGCAGTGGTCAAAGACAGCACTGAGAAAACGAACAGGAAACACATGTCGAAGAATGTTTAGTGTATGTATTTACAAAGACACATATGAGAACATACAAAGGACACCCCCCAAATCACTAAGGAAAATACAAACAGCTCATAAACCAACAAGTAAAAAGCTTAAAAGGCCATTCACAAAGAGGATGTCAAGATGCCAAGTAAACACTCAAGGTGTTCAAAGTCATCAGGAAAGTGTAATTAAAATCACCATGAGATATACTAGAAACCCACCAGATGTCTAAAGGGAAAAGCAGTCAATACCAAGAGTTGGCAGGGCTATGAAGCAAATGGAATGATCACATTCTTCAGGTGGGAGTGAGATTTGATCAGTTTCTACTGGAGTTAATCCTATGCTTTCCCTTGACTCACCAACTTCACACCTGGGAATACACCTCACAGAAATACCATGTTTAAAGAAATACATGATCAAAAATGTTCATCATGCCACTGTTTGTATGAGCCATCAACAAACAAGCAAACAAGTAATATTCACCTCTGGGTGAAAGGATTAGGTGTCACCCCCTCTACCCCAGCCTTCCCTACCCAGCTCCCATCAGTTTTACTTCTTACCTGATGTGTAACCATGGAAAGATTATTAAGCCACACGGAACCTCAGCTCTCTTATCTGAGAAATGGGCTGATAAAAAGTTCTACTTCAACACCGTTTTTATGGTTTGGGAGTAAAATATCCCCATAGGCTCATGAGTCTCAATACTTAGATCTCAGTTGGTGGCACTTTGGAGAGGTCTTGGAACCTTCTGGAAGTAAGGCCTAGCCAGCAGACACGGGACACTAGGGGTGGGCCTTGAGGAATATAAACTAGCCCTGATTCCCATCCCTCTTCCCTGGCAAGGTGTGTTTAAGTCCTGCTGCAAGCTTCTATCTGCCGCTATGCACTGAGCCTCTCCAGCTGCCACACCTTCCCCACCATGATGTACAACCTCTCCTCTAAACTGTGAGCCAGCTTCTCCTCCCTCAAGTCGCTTCTGCCAGGTATCCTGTCACAGCAATGAGAAGAGAGACGATTACAGTGTTCTCATGAAGACATACAGGAACTCAAGAGAGGGACCAGGAACAGAGCCACACCTTCCCACCCCAGTGAATGTGTTTTCTCCAAGACACGTATCCAGGCCATAAGGCAGCACAGGGGAGCCCCTCGAATGGCTTTGGGATACTAAGAAACTGCAGCTGGGAGCATTTCCCAGCCACTCAGAGAATGAGCTGTCAGATCACTGTCTTGGCACCCAGTCAGATACAGGTTTTCATTTACTCCTTCAACAAACATTTACGGAGTACTGGCTGTAAGCCAGGCACTTTTGTGGGTGTCCCAGCTGAGTTCTGGGCCCCTTTGCTTGGAAGTGGGGAGGGGGGCTGGAGCAATGGCTCAGTGGTTAAGAGCAATAACTGTTCTTGCAGAGGATCTAGGTTTAATTCCCAGCAACCACATGGACGCTAACAATTGTCCTTACCTCCAATTTCAAGAGATCTGATGCCCTCTTCTGGCCTCTGTAGACATTGCAGGCATGTGGTACACAACATACATGCAGGCAAAACACTCATACACATAAAATAAAAATAAAAATTTAAAATTATTTAGAAGTGAAGGGCTAGAGAGATGGCTCAGAAGTTAAGAGCACTGGTTGCTATTACAGAGGACCCAGATTCAGTTCCCAGCACCCACATGATGGCTGACAACCATTCATAACTCCAGTTCCAGGGGATCCAATGACCTCTTCTGAGGGCATTGCACAACATGGGTACACTTAAACACATGCAGACAATACGCTCACACACATAAAAATTTTAAAAAGTTACTTAGAAGTGAGAGCAGGGGGGAGAGGCAGAGCTGTCCAGGAAATGACTCCTGCAGTGGCAGCATCTAGAAACTTCCTCCTCTTCCTACTCTCATCCCCACTCCATCCAGCCAGCATCTTGGTCTCGGTGAGTCTATCTCTGTCCTCTCTGGGCCAGGTTTCCTGCAAAGGTTCATGGTGTCCAGTGGAACTGCATCCCACCTGCGTCGTTCCATCCCTACCCTCGTCACCACCCTGGGTCCTTCCCTGAAGCCCAATCAATCATTCCAAAGATTTATTTTAATTTTAATTATGTGCGCGCGCGCGTGTGTGTGTGTGTGTGTGTGTGTGTGTGTGTGTGTGTTAAAGATTTATTTTAATTTTAATTATGTGCGCGTGCATGTGTGTGTGTGTGTGTGTGTGTGTGTGTGTGTGTGCAAATGAGTGCAGGTGCCCTCTCAGGCCAAAGGTTTCTGATCCCCTGAAGTTGAAGTTATAGGTGGTTGTGAGCCACCCAACAGGGATGCTGGGAATCAAACTTGGGTCCTCTGCCAGAGCGGTACATGCTCTTAATCTCTGAGCCATCTCTCTAGACCCCATCCCCCAACTCTGATCAATGATTTAAAATTCAAAGTTGACCTCATCCTTCCTCAATTCCAAGTATGCCATTTCCGTGTGTCCCCAGACTGGTCTGTTAAATATGACTTTTCATACCTATTTCCAGCTCCGTCCTCCATCTGTTCCAGCTTGTCACTGTCATCTCTGTCCCCCAGTACTTTGCACTCTTGTTAGAGAAAGATTCTTCAAACAGCTAAGAGACCAAGCATTCACCCAGGAGAGAGTCTACATTTTCCCCCCTTCTCAGGCATGAGGTCCCAGGGTCAGCAACTAAGGTTTTTAGATTTCCTGGACCTTGAACCAAAGTACAGATGGGGATTAAATAGGCAGTTTTACGGCATTGTTTTATGGCTGACACCTGGGCCCTATGTTTCTTTTCATGATGGGCTATGTTATTTCAGGAAAATTCCTTCTTGGGCTCACTTGGTCATCATGACTTACAAAGTAGATATCCCAGGTGTGGGTCAGGACATCTGCCACCTTTTGATCTCAGCTAGCTCAGGTTAATTGAGCAAGAAATGGTAATTATAGTTTACAAAAACAGAAATCACTTGCAGAAGTTTAAATATGACATATTTGATGTACACTTTTCTTGAACTAATTGGACCAAGTGCCTCATTAAACCATTTGGTGAACTTTCCATTCTCTAAGTTTTACATTTTTATCAACAGTCAGACATGAATGGAAAGCATCACAGAACTTCAAGATATCACAGAAGAACAAAACATCTCAAGGCAGTGAAGAAACACCACAGAGCAATAAAACATAGTAAAAATTCAAGGTATCTACCTAGCAAATAAAATAAACTTCAAAATAACCTAAGCCTAAAAGAAGATTAGATATGAATAGAGAAAGTATAAGAATATAACTTTTCCTTACCACTCTCACAGTTCAAAGCATTATAGTCCTTCCCCAATACTGTGAAGCTAAGCGGCCATTATCACCTACCATTGCCTGAGTCCAATAGGGAGACTCATATGTATTCTTGCCCTTTTCTAGGATGTCTTCTGGGCAAAGCCTTGGCAGATTTCCCTCCTCTGGGTTAAGCTGCCACCTTGACCACACTCTGGAGCCATCATCTTGTGAGTTCCTGTCCGTCCCTCCAACTGCTCCATAGTACAGAGACAGGCTGATTCACCTCTGTTTCCCCTTGTCAGCAGGGACCACCATAGGGGCTGGGTTGAGGGGAATGTGGGAGGGGAAGCATGCTCTAGGGTCCTGGGCGTGAGCTCTGGCCTCCACGTGTACACACACATAACACACACACACACACACACACACACACACACACTTTGATTAAAAGTCTCGTCTTCTCAAACATGTATCAACACCTCCTTGACTACCTAAGATGGACCCTAAAACTCAAGGGTAGGAAAATCGAGCATAGAGTTTGAGTAACTTGCCTGAGGAGCAGGATGCTCTAGGGTCCTTGGGGCCATGTCCCATGGCTTCCTAACAGACCCCACCCACCCATTCAGGGACCCTGATTGCACTCCCCTCACCCCTCACCTTTGCACGTTCCCCACGTTGCAGTTGTCCCTTGGCTCCCTGCACTTGGCGAAGCACGTGGAGATGTCATCCAAGTGGAAGTGGTCGTACTCGTAGCTCTCGGTAAGCAGGCAGACGTTTCTGGGTTTTTCGGTGGGCCTCTTACCTAAGGGAGAGACATGGAGTAAGAAGGAGCTGGGGGGAGCTACTGAGTTGCATCTGTCTGCCCAACTGACTGCATTCCAACCAATTCCACCCTCCCCAATCCAAGAGGAAAGTGAGATGCTCACAGGGCTGGTGAGATGCTCTGGGGAAAGCATGACATGTGATATAAAGGTTCTATATGGTAGTGCTCAGTAAAGGTGTTATCTATCCGCACTATTGCACCATCCACCTCCTCCACAGAGCCCACCTGGCTTTGCTCAGCTGCTCCATCAGATCCTCCTGAGGCCCACAGCTCTGGCCAGTGCTGTAACTCCTACATGAATTCTGGCTTGCTTTGCCTCAGCCTCCCAGTCACAGCCTCCAGGCTCCCTCCTTGGGTTGGGGGAGGATGCAGGCCCTGGCCAGAGCATGGTGACTTGAGCAGTCACCAGGTGGATGGAAGCTGCTCTAGGGCTTCTGTGGCTTCCAGTTCAGATCCTTTTACAGGACCACGGGTCACGGAGGGAAGCTTCTGGTCACTGCCTAGTTGTGTGTTCTCAGGCAAGCTACTCAAATTCCGAGACTTGACTTTCTTACCCTGTAAGTTTTAGGGTAAAAGACTCCATCTTAGATAGTCAAGGAGCTGTTGTTACATGTTTGACCAAAGTCAAAATGTGTGTGTGTGTGTGTGTGTGTGTGTGTGTGTGTGTGTGTATTATGCATGTGTCTGTGGAGGCCAGAGCTCAACGCTGGGTGTCTTCCTCTAGCATACTCTTATTTTTTTTAAGAGTCTCTCACTGAATTTGGAGCTTGCCATTTCAGCTAGACTGGTTGGCAGGCAAGCCCCCAGGATCCACCTATCTCTGCTCCCCCAGTTCTGGGGTTACAGACATGTGCTGCCATGCCTGACTTTTATGTGGGTGCTGGGGAGCCAAACTCAGGTCCTCATGCTTGAACAGCAAGCACTTTACCCACTGACCCGTCTCCTCAACCCCCGAAGTCAAATTATGTATATACATTTCCATTTAGGTGAGATGTATGTATGTACCTACATGTTTACCTGACTATAAACAAAAGCAATATAAGCATAGAGTTCAAACATCTAGATCAAAGCTCCTGAGATGGCTCCGCTGGTAAAAGCATTTGCGGCACAAGCATGAGGACTGAAGTTCAATCAGCAGGAGAGAACCCACTCCCAAAGGTTGTCCTCTGACCTCCATGCCCACACCCACTGTGGCACACATATCTACCCAAATAATAATGATAGTAGGAAGAGGAGGAGGAGGAGGAGGAGGAGAGAGGAGGAGGAGGGTGGGTGGGGGAGAAGAAGAAGAAACTCTAAATCATACACAAGGGCATAAAATAGAAAGTTCCAGTCCCTCTTCCTACAGGCCCTCAGCACACTCAGGGGCCAGCACTCTTTAACAATTTGTTACAAATTCCAAACTTTTTCCATGTGCGTGCAAGTGTTCCCATGAGGATCGTTTGAAAACATATGAAAGAGAAGACAGCAACAAATCTTGAGGCTGTTTCTACCTTGTTCTTTTTCACTTGCCCCCTGTTGACATTTCTCTCTCTCTCTCTCTCTCTCTCTCTCTCTCTCTCTCTCTCTCTCTCTCTCTCTCTCATTCCCTCCTCCTCCTCTACATCTTCCTCCTTCTCTTCCTTCTTCTTTGTTTTATTTTAATCAGGGTCTCACTATGTAACCCTAGCCAACCTGGAACTTGCTATGTAGACCAGGCTGGCCTCAAACTCACAGAGATCTACCTGCCTCTGCCTCCCAAGTGCTTGGATTAAAGTCATAAACCACCATGCCTGACTTCTCTCTCAGAGTTCTTGAGTGTGCATTTTTGTGAACTTATGCTAAGAATTTCCAGACAATATATCATGAAAATTTCTGGGTCAACTTTTGCTAGGTGTGTGGGGGCTGGGCTGTAGCTCAGTGGAAGAGCATTTGCCTGGTGTGTGCAAGTCTCCACTTCAATTCTTATCACCCAAGGGGGAGGAGGACTCACTAGGTATGGAGTATGTAAATCCCTGGCACTAAAAATAGATAGGTATTGACATTCTGAATTTCCCTTCAGAAGAGAGACATCTGTAAACATTCCCACTGAAAGTGAGCAAGTCACTATTCACTAGGTCCCACTAAGTTTCTACTTTTACCAGACAGCCTGAGAAATAAAATCCAATTTCATAATAACGAGACATCTCTCTGTGTATTTGCTGCCCATTTCCATATCTCTTTATGTGAACCACCTGTCGGGATCCTTTGTGCTCTGGGTATGGGAAGGATCTGCTTGCTGCTGGCTATTGCTTTTAGGTTAGTCCACAAAAAGTTGTGACAGAGCCACTTCTAAGATAGGGAGGTCCCAGGGGAGAGGAGGGCAGGGGCATTGCTTTCTAAATACTCTTTGCTGGTGTTTGATTTAAAAAAAATCATGGGCAGTATCACTTTGAACTTAAAGGAAAATAGTTCCTTTTCAATTATTAGGACACAAAATAAAATACATGGTAAAGAAAGGAAAAGAAAAAGTTAGATTAAAAAGGGTGAACACTTAAAAAAGTAGATTTTATATTAGTCAGATCTATATGTGACATGTTGTTTAAGTCAACTTACAGAGGAACTTGGGCTTTCTACTAGCTTGTATCTATGATGCACTGAGGGCAGATGCTAGGTACACAGTCTATGAGAATGTCTACATTTGAATTTTAAATGTGAGGGGAGGGTGGAGAAGAAGAAGGACTCAATCAGGGAGAGGGGGCAGGAGTGAGGAACAGGGGAGACATCCCCAGGGTGAGACCAATTTCACTCCATCCCGCTGTGAACTCCAGCTTTGCATCCAAGGAAGTTCTCAGCAAGCACCCAGCACACAGAAACCAGAGAAGAGTCTTTGTGGGGGTTTGCCCCTCTTGGTTCTTGCTATGTAGCTCAGGTTAGCCTCAAACTCAAGATTCTTGTAAGTGCTGGAAAAATAGGTGTGGACCACCACATCTGGCTGAGAAGACTGTCTCAGAACATCTGTCTCATGATTGATTAGGGGAATTTTGGAAGCCTAGACAAGGAAACTCAGAACTAGTCCTGCTTCCCACCCCACCCTCTTTTTCTCAGTCATGCTGGGCTCTGCCCCAGGCTACCCACCTGAAACCTCACTATGGGTTCAGCAGTTGGGAACCTAGCAGGTGGAGACAGGCTGAAGGTCAGCAACTGAAGGAGGAAGGGCAGGTATATACCTGTGTGCCCCGACACCCTGACCCTTGTCCCTTTAACCCCTCCCTTCCACTTGACAGCAGCCCCTCTTCTCTCCTGCAACCACAGCCTGGGGACAGCCCAATCTTCACCCTTCAGGCTCAGGGTGCCAAGAGCCTCCCTCTGGTGAATAACCATTCCTTTTGTGCCCCTTCCCTTCCCTGCACCTTGGTAAAGTGTCCTTTGTAAGGCTCCACTGATCACGGAGCTTTCATCTGTCCGGGCTTAGCCCAGGCTGGTCCCCACCTCACCCTTGAGGTAAAGAACCTGCCAGGGTACCAACTGTGAGTCCGTTGGGACAGGGGCCAGCCATGTAGTACCAGCACAGAGCACCATCCATGTTTCTTGAACACATGAATGAAGAGCAGGCAGGTACATGGACAAACGGTACCTGCCCCACTAACAACCACGTAGGGCAGTCTAATATCAAAATATAAACTTGCCAGTTCCTACATCATTTAGACTACTGACCAACCATTCACCCAACACTGAGCATCTGTGTCACTGTCCAGATCCTCCACACCACCACCGAGTTCTCATGCCACTGGTGGGTCCATGTCACTACTTAGAGGCCCAGCCTATGAATTATAGCTCTTGCGATGGTGATCACTGATACCTGGCAATAGCTGCACTCAGCAGTAGCTGCTTAGTTACCAGGTCAAATTCATCCATCCAGGGTTGCCTGACAGCCTGTTCTGTCCCAGGATGCCCCCTAGCCATAAGAAAGACAATACTGCCATTTTCTGTGCACTTTTTCTTCTTTTCCTTCCTTCCTTCCTCCCTCCCTCCTTCCCTCCCTCCCTCTCTCCCTTCCTTCCTTCCTTTCACTTTTGAGACAGGGTCTCACTATGTAGCTCTGGCTAGCCTGAACTCACAGTACAGACCAGCCTGGCCTCAAACTCACAGAGATCTGTCTGTCTCTGCCTCACGAGCTGGAATTAAAAGCAGGAGCCACCATACCTAGCTACTTTTCTCTTTTGAGGTGGGGTCTCCCATAGCCCAGGCTGACGCATTTCATAACTGAGGTGGCTTTGAACTCCTGATCTTCCTGTTGCCACTGCCCAAGTGCAAGTATGTGCCACTATACCCAGTCTACTTTCGAGCCAGTCCACTTTTGAGCCAGACATTTGGTAAAGGGAGCCTGGTTCTAGGACGTGGTGGGCCAGACAAGTTATTTAGTTGGCCTCTGGGCTTCTGGGGAAGGAATCAGGGTCGCTGGAAGCTAGGCCTCATAGGGCCTGGGGAAGGGAGCCTGGTTCTAGGATATGGTGGGCCAGACAAGTTATTAAGTATGTGCCACTACCCAGTCCACCTTTGAGCCAGCCAGCCCTTTACCAAATCCCCCAACATCTGAAGAGCAGAGGGGCCCAAAGATGCTGATTCCCTGTGGCTAGTCACACAGCCATATTAGACACACAGAGAGGTGGACATCCGGGACACTTGCTAAAGCTGGAGCAAACGAAGAGAGACTGGGCGCTGAAACAAGAGTGCCTCCCCACTTGAGGGAACCCCAGAGCCATCCCTTAGCAGCCAAGAAAGACACAGAGCCAGCCAGGGGAGGAGTGGTAAATGGATGGTATGAGGCAGAGGCAAGACCAGGTTCTTCAGTGGCTACTGGAGAACCTCATGTCTGTGCATGAAGCTGGAGCATGTGGAATGGGAGCAGTCTGGGTCCTGGCTCCTATCACTGAGGACCATGAAGACAGTGAGAGGGAACCTGTGAAGGGTGAACTGTGGGGACAGAGCATCTGCTGGCCCTACCAGGCCTAGCTTCCAGTGACCCTGACTCCTTCTCCAGGAGCCCAGAGGCCAACTGAATAACTTGGTCTGACCCACCATATCCTAGAACCAGGCTCCCTTCCCCAGGCCCTTACCAGGCCTAGCTTCCAGCGACCTTGACTCCTTCCCCGGGAGCCTAGAGGCCAACTGAATAACGTGTCTGGCCCACCACGTCCTAGAACCAGGCTCCACCCTCGGTCCTCTGTCTTCCCCCACATTCGCTGTCAGGCCATCTACAGGAATTACGGAATGACAAAGGGAGCCTGAGACCCAGCATGATGGGATTTAGTAAAACAGAACCTACCCAGTGGGACAAGGCCAGAGTAGGTTATGAGGCAGTCATCCCAACTCCCCATTTGCCCACCCACTGTGCATCCTCGGTCTCTGGCCATGTTGCCTAAGGTCCTTTGCAGCCCAGCGTTTCCCAGGCTTAGCAGGAGGGGCTGGGGAGCCCATGCTTGCTTACCGGAGACCAACAGCAGAAGAAGCAGGGCCCCCAAACCCCTGGCTGTCTCCATCTGTGGCCGGCAGAGTCCTGAGGTTGTGTGGTCCCCTTGTCCCAGGCTCTGTCCAACTGACCTGCCTGCCGCCTACCGCCCAGCCTCTACTTCCTGTGGCCCCTCTTTCGCTCTTCCTGCTCAATGGCGCCATCAGTGGGATTGTGAAAGGTGGGTGTGGGGAACTTGGCAGTGCTCTGAGCCTCACTCACCACCCCCATTCCCGGCAGCCACCATCACCCTGCCAGGGCTTCCCTGGGACTTGGAGTCAGATGTTCCTGCTCCCTTTTCCCCAGCAAGGGTCTCAAGGCTTACTCCTGCCTCTGTAAACAACAGCACAGGCTGCTCCTCAGGGTGTCCTGGTTTGCTGAGACTTGTAACCAGCCAGGCACAAGAAGACATGACACAGAGATGAGGCCACAGATATGGAGGGCAACTGTGGTTTGAACAAAGCCAGTTGTAAGCCTATGCCTGCTGGAATGGGGGCGGGTGGAGAATAGAGGAGTTGACGCTGCAGGTCTTGAACCTCTCCCACAAGGTAGGATAACAGGAAGGACAGACAGTGACCCCAGCAAGTTCTCACAAGCTCCTGGAGCTTCAGGCACAGGGCTAGGAATCCTGGAGAACTTCCTGCAGGAGGTGGAACGGCAGTGTGGGCCCTGTGGTGGTGAAAGGAATGATCAGGCCTGATCTGATATCTGTCCTGGTCACCATCTTGTCTGGTTACCTGCATAAATTGTCTGCTGCTTGGTGCCTCTCACAGGCATGGGAAGGACTCATGAAATGAGGCTTGTGGAGCTGATCTGTGAAGGTGGGGCATCTGATGGTAATCAGTGCTGTGAAGTTATGGTCACCCTCCCCCAGCTGACCACTGCTAACCCAGGCAGGAAGCAGGGAGGGTATGCGCACACATACGCACATATGCATCCACACACGTACGTACATTTGAGGGAAGAGATGGAGCCCACCACTTAGGCCCCAAGTCTGCTGACCTCAATAAGATATGGATATGGCCAGGCCCTTGGTGTAGTCCACAGCCACACAGATGGATGAAGAAGTTTTGTTACCAGCACAGGCCTGAGCCAACCTTGCCACCTCATTTTCCCACAGGGGAGCTGTCCAACTCTGGCTGGCCTGTTTCCCCTTCCTCCCACATGGTCCCCTGCTGGGCTCTCTGGGCCCGAGGGGGCATGGGGAAGGAATGACATGGGTCACTCCTGTTCTGTTGGACGGAGGTGGGGATCTGGCATGGAGCTGCAGGTCAGAACCCAGAAGTTCCTGTCTCCCAGAGCTTCCTCTGACAAAGATGGGAGCCTCTGGGCCTGCCCTCCTCTTTCTAGTCTCCCCTGCCCACCCCCACTGCCTGTGGCCTCCCTCTCAGCTGTAAGCAAGGGTAAGGAAAGTGAAATGGTGCGCACTGACATGCTAGGCCCACCCTAGCGCTCACCCTTGCTCCAGGGTCTTCAGGCCCCCACTGCCTGTGGCCTCCCTCTCAGCTGTAAGCAAGGGTGAGGAAAGTGAAATGGTGCACACTGACATGCTAGGCCCACCCTAGCGCTCACCCTTGCTCCAGGGTCTTCAGGAGTAGTGATCAAGGGCCTGGTGAGCTTCAGATGGAGGCATGGTGTCTTGTGTTCCTAGGAGTCCAAACCAGGGTGGCTGGGTAGCTGGCAAGGCAGCAAAGAAGATCCAGGCTCTACAGAGATTATTTTTTTAATTTTTATTTTTTATGAATGTTTTGCCTGTACGTGTGTAGATACACCTATGTGTGCAATACCTGCAAAGGTCAGAAGAGGGTGTCAGAGCCCCAGGAACTGGAGTTACAGGTGGTTGTTACCTGCCACATGGGTTCTGGGTACTGAACCCAGGTCCTCTGCAAGAACAGCCAGTGCTCCCACCATTGAGCCATCTCTCTAGCCCCTCTATAGAGCTTCTTAGAAAAACCTCATAGGCCAGGACTGCCAAGAGTCCTTTGCAGAGGCCCAGGGTTCTCACATTCCAAGGCTAACAGAACTGCAATGTCCTTTCTGCCATTTCCCACCCCCAGTTTGTCCCAATGTCTCCAATAGGCAAGGCCTCAGACCCAGCCAGCATCACCCAGCCAGCATCACCCAGCCACCCCATCTGTTTCCCATGCCAGAGGGTGTCTTAAGAGGTCCCCTTGTTCTGTCATGGTGGGAATGTAACTGTACTGACTAAAGCCCCTAGGCCTAGGAAGAGCTACTAGAACCAAAGCAGCCCCCTAAAGTCATCAGAGGCCCCCATCCTCCTTCCTGAGACAGTGTCAAAGCTAGAGGTTCATGGAAAAGGAAAATTTGAGGGATGCTTTCTGCCTATAGGAAGGGAAAGAGTGCAGTGCCTGTCAGTGGGATTCAGAGAGACCGTCTCATATTGACCTAGGCCGGCAAGCACCAGGATCCTGCTGAGTGCTCAGTCAGGACACTGTGTGTTCAGGCAGAGGGCTTGGGAAGGTTTGGCTCTGTCCTCAGGGATCGGGGACATAGGAACTCTAAGGCAGAAGCAGAGGAGAGGAGGAAGGATTGGAAGAGAGACACAGGGAGCTCCCATAGGCCAACAAATATCCCACATTTATGCTATGTTGTGAGAGCTGCCAGTCCACTAGAGCCACCAAGACTGCGCCTACCCACTTTGTCCAGCCCCAGAGCACCTGGCCTTGTCCCCTCCCAAGCTTCCCCTGGGGCAGCTGGCAGGGGAGGAGGAGGGGGAGCATGGACTTGGACAAACCGGACTCAAATGTAGTGGAATTTCATTCATTCATTCATTCATTCAGAGGAGGAGGAGGAGGAGGAGGAGTCTCACTATTGTAGCCCAGGCTGGTCCGGCTTCAGCATCTCCAGTGCATGGAATCACAGGTACCACCACACCCTATTTTTTATACCTTTTTATACCTGAACACAAATAGTGACAAGCACCCATACCCTAAGGGGGACAGACACCCAAGAGACGTCTGACCTGTGTCATACGAGGGGAAGGAAAGGTTTGAGGGACAGGCTAAAGGCGGCTTGGGAGAAAAGCCCAGTCATGTAGCCCACCTGTTTTAGACTGGTGTCCAAACGGGTCCCATACATCACATGACCAACCAAGGTCAAAGGTGACTTTTTTGACCAGAGGTTTTGAATGTGGCAGAATTATAAAATCAATGGATTTACATGCCAGTCTGGATTTCCCCTGAAAAGCTATGGCTTTTAAAAGGTATTGCTACCTGGGCCCTCCTGCCCACCAGCAGTGTCCAGCCTCAGCTGACGGTCCCACTCTCCACTTCAATGCAGACCTCTACTGGATGCCTTCCCGACATAGACACCCACCAACCTTTTCTCTCCTGTTTGCCAGGTTGAGAAGGGACCAGACAGGGACATTTTTCCCACCCACTGTCCCCTTCTCTTTCCTGTTTCCTGACTGGCCCTGAGATATCTGTATCAGCAACACTTTTAACAGAAACACAAAGAAAACCTGAGAAAGAAACTCTCCAAAATGCACTGCTTTGTCATAGCAACAGATAACAACAGCTAATTTTTATTTTTTTCTCCTCAATGATCTTCTACAGTTACCAAACTCTACAATTAGCACGAACTTCTCTGAATATCAAAAGACAAATGAATTGGTATTTAAAAAGAACATCCTCTCCATCTTGAAGGCTGAAGTCAAGTTGACATGCTGCCTTCTGCAGGAAGTCCTCCAAGATTTCCAGCCCTGTGCCTGAAGCTTCAGAAACTTGTGTTTGCCAGGCTCATTGCCAGGTCTGGTCATCTGTGTCCACCTAGCACGGGCTGGCATCTCGTCAGTGTGTGTTAGTTGGACAGAATTCATCATGATGAGCAACTCAGGGTCTTCAGCCACCTGTAGTGATTTGAAGACCACCCTCTAGAGAGCATCAGGCTCAGGCGTGTCAGCAGAGGCAGGCGGGTCATCTCCAGGTTCAGAATGTTGAGTTGAAAACAAGTGCTGTGTCCCACAGTTCTTGCCGCATGGGAGTTTCTCAGGAGAGGCAGAGGCCCCACTGAGGCGTGAGCAAAGACGAGGCAGCTGGGAGAGAGGCTCAGACAGATAGACAGATGGGCCTGGGCCACCCCTGCCTACCCTGAGCCAGAGTTGGGGAAAGGCCAAGACCCACACAGTAGATAGGTTACAGCAGGCTCCAGGCAGCTCCTGGGACCCACTACCCCAAATCACAGCATTGGACCTGGAATCCCAGGCTGAGGGTGTAAAGCTGGGGGACCGTGGGAAACGAGGGGTGTGGGAAAGGAAAAGGAGAGCCAGTGCAGGGAGGGGGCCTGGGCCCAGAGGAGGCAAGCCACTGCCCAGCTCTGCTTTAGGGAGGCATGTCGCCTCCTGAACAGTTCTGGTTCCAATGCTTCTTTCAATCCCATCTATCCTCAGTGCCATCCTCAGGGTCAAAAGGCAGGGGCACAGTGCTGATTGGTGACCACGGGGATAACACAGAAAGAGCCAGGAAGCTGTGTCATAGGCAGGGGCAGAGTTTGGGATATGTCAGTCTCCAAGATCCAAGCCTGACCTTGGGGCCTGCAGGTCTCAATACTTATCAACCAAGGCTGGGCCCAGGTCCCATCTATCCTCAGTGCCACCCTCAGGGTCAAAAGGCAGGGGCACAATGCTGATTGGTGACCACGGGGATAACACAGAAAGAGCCAGGAAGCTGTGTCATAGGCAGGGGCAGAGTTTGGGATATGTCAGTCTCCAAGATCCAAGCCTGACCTTGGGGCCTGCAGGTCTCAATACTTATCAACCAAGGCTGGGCCCAGAGGTGGCCAGAAAGATAAGGCCTCAGATCCAGGTTAAGACAGCTGTGGAGACAGCCTCACAGCCAGCAGAGCAGTGTGCTTTTGAGCCCTCTGAGAGCCAGACCTGGGAGCGGAGTGGTTCCCAAGACCAGCTGGGTATCTAGCTACCATAGGAACAGCCCCATCTCTCCAAGAACCAGGGCTTTTTCAAGTATGCCACTAGCCAACAAGGGCTGGGCAGAATGCTGGGCCACAGCCAGTGTGAGCAGATGCCACGCATGTATCCTTCCTAGATGCGGCTGGAGGAGGTGCTGCCAGAGCTGATGGGGAGCTTGGCGCTGTCAGAGCTGTTCTTCAGAGGGGAGGGGCCACCCCGGGCCTGCAGCCTCATGGACCAGTACCACAGGAAGATGAGAAAGCCTGTGGGCAGTAAGGCATAGGGGTCAGCAGGTGGCGGGGCACCTGTCCCCTCCCTGTGTCCCCCAGCCAGAGCTCAGGCCATGCTTAGGACCTCCTAGCCACTCCACACTACATAGTTCAATGACATGTCAGTATCTCAGTGTTGAAAACAGACCCCCTCAGCCTCATTTCAGTTCCTCATGTGACAATGAGCTGGCATGCAGCCCTTGTCCCAGACAGCATGGCTAAGCACAGAGGTATATATGCCTGTGTGTCTGAATCCAGGGAGTGCAGGTTGGAAGAACATGGATAGGACCCCACTGTCTCAAGCCGGGGCCCCCAGGATCCTGCCTCTAGCCATCACTGGCTACCCTTCAGCCATACTCCCTCTCCCCGTCTTCCCGCTTGTTCCAACCACTGGGCCTTTGTTCCAACCACTGGGCCTTTGTTCCTACCTCTCCCCCGACCTGGTACTCCTTCCCTAGACCAGGACTCCCCAACTTGCACATACATAAGATGCCCCAGGCATCTTGTTAAGATGCAGATAAGATTGGCAGGTCCAAGTGAGCCACAGTGTACATTTCCAACAAGCCTCCAATGATCCTGATGCTGCTGGTCCAGGACCATCCCCCCAAAGCACCCCCTACCCTAGCCCAGGTGCCACACTTGGTTGTCCACTGTGACCTCTCTAATCTAAGGTCTTGTTAGATGTCTGCATGCTCTCTTAATCACACTGTCTCCCTCAAGAGAACTGAGTGGGCAGCTCATGCCATAGCCCCAGGGCTTAGCATAGGACTCACATATAGTAGATGCTCAATAAAGACTTGTCCATTGTGGCCTGGATGGACCCTTTTTGGGGGTTTTTTGTTGTTGTTGTTCTTTTTAAGACAGGGTCTACCTGTAGCCCCAGCTGGCCTGGAACTCACTGTGTAGACCAGGCTGGCCTTGAACTCACAGAGATCTGCCTGCTCTGCCTCTGCCTCCTGCTTTCCCAAGTGCTGAGATTAAAGGTATGTACCACTATGCCTGGCCAATGCACCCATTTTTAAATGAGGAGAAGACAGGCCCAGAGGATGGAGTCTTTGGGTTCCCTGGGCATCTCTTAGGACCCTGTGCTCCATGTGTGGATGGAGCCTACTACTTGGAGGGGCAGGGGCTGCTGGGTGGGAGGTGGGGCCTTCCAGGACTGGGGGCAGGGTCTTTCAGGGCTGAGGGTAGGGCCTTCACCATACCTACCTTGGAAAGAAGTGATGATGCTGAAGAGGTAGAGGATGACAAGCTGGAAGGTTCCAGAAGCAAAGGAGAAGAAGACCAAGGCCCAGGGCAGGCCAAGAACTAGGCTGAGGCCCAGCAAGGTCAGCACATGAGGCCACTTCTGGCTGTGTGGGCGGAGCCGCAGGATCTGGACCACCATGGTGCCCAGCATGGCTATGTTGAACAGGAACACTAGGCTAAAGAGGCCCAGGTTGGTGACATAGCTAACCAGGGAGTCCCGGATCCAGCACCTGGGTGAGAGTGGGAGGCTCAGTGCAGGGAAGGTTCAGCAATGAGAGGCTCAATACACGGGAGGCTCAGTGCTCGGGAGACTCAGTGCTCACTAGCTGAAGCAGCGGGGACCCGGAGGACACTGGTTGGGTCTTGGGATGGCTCACTGTTCACAGCAAGCACTGCTCATTTTCTGTTTATAGTCTTGGGGTCATCTTTCAAGCTGATTAATTTATTTAGCTTGCAGTTTTTAAGTTTTTTTATTGTTTTAAATTATATGTATGCGAGTGTGTCTGTGTGTGCATCTATGCATGTGAGTGCCCGTGCCCTCAGAGGTCACAGAGGTCTGAGGCACTGGATCTCCTGGAGCTGGAGTTACAGGTGGTTGTAAACTGCCTGTTATGGGTGCTGGCAACTGAACTCAGATATTTTGCAAGAACAGTGAGTATTCTTAATTGCTGAGCCATCTCTCCAGCTCTTGGTGTCATTTTTAAAAAATAACACTGAGGTTACCCATTCAGGTTATTTAAAGGAAGATATAAAGGAAATGATGCTATTGACGGCATAAGAATGAGGCAAAACCTCCAGACCAGGTGCAGAGGGAAAATTTAACCAACATGGAGTTAGTGGAAACTACTCCTCCCCAACCTACACTCAAGGAGCCATTGGCTTCCTGACTAGTTTCAGGGTGTCCACAGTCATCCACAGTAAGTTAGGGAGATGGAGGAGGGCTGATCTCAGTCATATTCCTCCTCTAGCTGAGTTGTGTGCTGGCCACAATGTGGCCAACGGTGAGTCGCTATCTCCTCTGGGTTACAGGCCTCCATCTGCCTAGGAACTGGAAGGGTGCTGCAAGAAATGATGGGATACAACACACACTTCCACACACAAGTGAGGAACCTGAGGCTCAGAGAAGGCCAGGCTCTGGGCATAGGCCTCTGACTAGTAAGGAACAGACCTGGGCCTCTCTCACTCCTGTGACCCTTAGCCCGGGGTTCTGACCACTTTCAGGCCCATCCTTTGAACAAACTGGAGCCTGGAGCCTGGTTCCCACCCCCACCATGGCCACTTACATGGAGGGGTAGATGATGCGCTCTGGAGTCCGCTGCACAGCCAGGATGATGGGGCCATAGTTGTTCACATCGACCAGTGCCACCAGTGTGACCAGGAAGACAGGGAAACCTGAGGACATCAAGTAGAAACTCTCTCACCCTCTGGACCCAGTTTCCCTGCTCCCAGATGGACCTGGAAGGAGATCCCCCCCTGAGGAAGAGGCTCCCAGAGCCCACCCAGCTGCATGTGGGGGAAGACTCCCCCAAGTTCGCACTGTCCTCCCGACTCCACTCTGACTTCCCATAAGGGGCAGACTCTCCCCCAACCTTGCCCTGTCCCTTCCTGGGCACCCCAGGAGAAAAGGTCCGTGGCTCCCTCCTGAGGGATGGACACATAGAGAGGACAGAGGGATTGTGGGCAACAGTAAGGGAGAGAGTAGGAGGAACTCTAGCAGAGGGAATGTCTGCTCTCACCTTGATAGGTATGTAGGTAGAAATGGAAGGCACCTTGGGGTGGGGTGGGGATGGGGAGTTCTATACAGCTGGGGCTGTCACATCCAGCCCCAGTTTTGTGAAACTTAGAGAGAGTGGTAAATGAGAGGGACATAGGAAAAACAGGAAGTTGGGCTCAGGGACAAGGGGAAGTGGGGTCTGTACAATGTCCAAATGACTCATGGTGGGAAACTTTGGGCTCCAGTTTGACATTCGAAGTCTGTGTCACAGGTGAAGTGAGTTGTCACCAGCCAAGAACAAATGCCAAAACCACAGAGATCCTGGCGCCTGAGGTTTTGGAGGAGATGCTCCATAGGTCGATGCCAGAGTAAGTGAGTTAGGCAAGTGGGCCAGGACCAGAGTTCCCTTGGCTTCCTCAAGAAGAGTGCACAACTCGCACATCCATACCAACCCAGCCCAGGTGGGGGAGCTGGCTGGTCTCCCTCACAGGTGGAGCGCAGGACTGCCTGTCTATGGAGTGGGCAGTGGGTAAGATTGTGGTTCAGGGGCCCTTCCCCTCCTCACTTACCCCAGCCTACAATGCTCAGCTTGAGCAGGTAGCCAGGGACATAGGTGCCAAAGACCTCAACCACCAGTCGGTAGAGGTTGTAGCCCTCGAGGCCCATCCAGGAGAGGCAGGCAAGGAGGGAGAAGTGCAGGAAGATGGCGCTGGCGCGACAGGCAGCTTCAGAGCCCGCAAGGGCCACAGGCTCACTGAGCAGGAAGCTCACATCCAGCAGGAAGACTGCCAACAGCAGGTTCATGTGAACCTTGATGGTGTAGTCTCGGGACTTCCTCCTGCAGGGAGGGTGGGCTGGTGGGACAGTGCAGGGGCAGGGCACAACCTTCCTTCGTGCTCCCCCTCCCTCTTCAGGACTGCCCCTCCCTCCTCTTCTTCCTCCTTGCTCCTCTTCATCCCACCTTGAGGAAGTCTTCCACTCTGTGGTTGCCCACCCATGTGCCTGTGAGTGGGTGCGGGTATCTCACCAGCAGGATTGTGTGTGCCCCTGCAATGCAGTATTTTAAGGAATCCCAGAGGTACAGCCGAAGGCCACACCTGGCCACACTGTAACCATCCTTAATTCCCTTCCCTGTCCTGTACCACCCAGTTCAGTCTGCCTGGGACTGTTTCTACCTCTGCACAGTGGGAGGTCAAGGCTAGTAAAGCCCAAGGTATGGGAAGACTGCATTTCCTAACAGTTCCCATGACCCCGCCATTGTGATCAGTAGTCTGCCACCCCAGCCTTCACCAAGCCCATTGCTGGGTACCCCTCTCATGATACCTGCTTAGTCCTGGTGTATAGCTGCAGACATGCATGATCACACCACACGTATATATGACACACAAGTATCCAGCTCCACCCCATGCCCAGCTGAAGACCTGCCAGGTGTCCCCTGAAACAAGTGTGTCTGTCTTCTACCCAAGCAGGCCCAGGACCTAGCTGCAGAGAGACCTTAATATAAGCTATGCTGACAATTGGACAACCTCTACCACTCTTTCGCTGTGTGGTCTCGGCAAGTCTACTACCTTCTCTGAGCATTCATTCCTTCTTAGGGTGCTACGGGGTTAGCCCACACTCATCCTCAGAGAGCAGTCAAAGCAGTGTACAGCACATGGATTCTCCAGCAAGGTCACCTAGTCCCATTCTCATCACTGATATGTTACTTGCAGTCTCACATGTGACTGTCAGATGCCCATGTGAATCCCTGGTTCTAATTATTAACTAACATTGTTAATGCTGGTGTCCAAAAGGCATGGAGTGAGGGGATCAGCAGATGACCCATCCAAATCTCTCTAGTCACTCCTGCAGGCTGGAGTGGACCCACCCCACCCCTTCCGGCCTACCTGGAACAGAGATAGGCAGCGATCGTGAAGACACAGGCCAGGGCGGAGATGACACAGCCCACGTAGGACAGGAGCGTGAGGTAGTGCTTGTGAATGGCTTCCACCTCCGTAGAGGACACCTGCACAAGGACAGGGTGGTAGTCTCAGCCTGTTCTCCTCCCCACTGAGTCTCCCCATGGTCAGCCTGTGTTCCTGGACAGCTGGGAGGTAGCAAGCCTTTTCACCTGAGTGCTCTTCTAGAGGCCTCTGTGACTTTCTCCCATCCCACACAGTCTCCAATTCACAAAGGCTATGCATCCTCATGAGAGAAGTAGCCTCTGGTCCAGCCTGAGCCCCACAAAGCCCCAGCTGAGGCCATTTCCAGTGGGATGGTCCTTTACAACGGTGGTGAGGCATCAGGTGACAGTAGGAGCCATGCTTGGAATTTGAAATTTGTACACTCCCTAGGACCATTGAAGAAGCTATATCACCCTGCAGCGCCAAGGGATGGCCACCTACTTCCACCATACAACTTCCGTGTGGGCCTGGCCTTTACCCACTGATTGGAATGTCAAGCAGATTCAATCAGGATGCCACAGCATTGTTAGGCAAGAAGAATCTTTCTTTCTATGACATTCAACATGAATAAGCTTCCTTGATTCCCAACCAAGGGATTCTGGGAGCATGAGGCCAGGGCATGAAACCTCTGAGATCTGGAGAACACAGAAGCCCACCCAGGGGGCTTCTACTTCCGGACATATAAGAAACAGTCTCCTGGCCTCAGGTCTGTAGGTTGGGAGCAAGGATCTGAGTTTTCTTCACACACCAAAACTTAAAGAGTAAAGTGAAAGCTTTACAGGGCTTTGATTAATGAGCTATGTGACCTCAGATGTGTTCCTCAGCCTCTCTAAGCTTCTTATTTGGAGCTCTCAGAGCTTATCTTTAAAGTGAGATGATGATGGTAGGGGCCACATCAGAGGGTTATTTGGGGTTGAATTAATAAGTGACATATGTACGACACAGGACAAGGGCTTGGCCTGCACTGTGCCTGTGAGGGGGGCTGGAGGGACACCCACCATCAGCACTGCAAAGTAGGTCAGGTGGCTGCAGAGGCAGGATGTCTCCATTTCTCTGTGGACAGTGTCACAGCCTGCACTACTCCAGCTCCCAGGGCTGTTTGCTGAGGGGACAGCAGGGGCTCTGATCAATACCAGGCCCCAGGACCCAACCATGGCCCTCAACACATGACCGGGTCATTCTTGCAAGCCTTTGTCCACCAGCAGACCCTGGCCTCCATCGCTCCCTCCTCCAAGCCCACTTTCTCCAGGAAGCCACCCTTGGGGATCCCCATCTCTTCTACCCCACATGACCCCATGTCTTCTCCAGATACTTGTCCACCCAGAGTCCTCTCCACACTCACGTGTCGGGTCTTCAACCCAGAATACACACTGTAGAGTCACATTCTTCTGTGGGCATGAGAAAAGAGGAACATGGGCCTCCGCAGTCTGTCTGTGTTCCCTCCATAGCCCATTCTCCATGTCTTCTCTTCACCTTCCATGATCTAGCCACAGCCCTCTCTCCGTGACCTATCCACAGTCTATTTTCCACGACCTATCCACAGGACATCTTCCATGACCTATCCACAGTCCACCCTCCATGACCTATCCATAGTCTACCTTCCATGACCTATCCACAGCCCACCCCTCTACCCACCTCACCCCAACCTGGACTTGGCTGGTTGGTATGCTCAGCTAGGCAACCTTTCCATCAAAGACAAGTAGGTTGGGAGGGGTGGGAAGCAGACATGTGGCCCAGCAGGGGTCTCTGGCCCTGGCTGGCTAGCTCCCACTCACCGGCTGCGGCTGGTGCTGGAAGGTGAGCACTACTGGCTCCGAGAGGTTGGTTACTTTGGTATTCTGCACAGCAATGCCCAAGACCTTCTCACCCAAGACTTGGCTGGAATTTTTGTCCTGGATATATGAGGTTGGGGAAACAGGTAGGGAGTTCAAGGCTGAGAAGAAAGACTCAGAAGTGCCCCACTCCCTCTTTCTAGACTACTGTCACTTCCAGCACATTGCATGTGCAGTCATTTACACTATAGTGTGAACAGCACGGCTTACACGCTTCCAGGAAGTTTGCATGTTGCAATCCCCTTTCTGACTTTATGTGAGGCTTTGGCTTCTAGACAAGGAAAACGGACTGTTCTCTTCCCACCTCTCTGTCAGATCAAAATAAATCAGTTCCCAGAGGAGCATGTGAGGGGAAAACCCCATACCTGAAACAGGGCTTGGCTGCTGAAGTCTACCACTAGGAGCCTCTTGGCAGCCTCCCGGCGACGGCCTCTGGCTTGCTGGAAGAGGGCACGGGGCAGCAGCACCGAGTACGCCTGGACCTCACTCTGTTCTTCCTGCAGACCAATGACCCTCAGTGCCTGGCCCACTATAATCCCAGATTCCTTCTAGCACCACACGCCCCTTCTGGAAGTTGTGTTCTGGCCACCCACCAGCCAAGAGACCAGGCCTGATCCATCTGGCTTCCTGCTGACCATGGCAGGAGAGCCTGGTGGTGGGAGCCTAGGGCCCCTGGTAAACAGGCTGGGAAACTCTCATGGAGTCCTGCTGTCTGAGGCTCCAGCCTTACCTACTAGCTATAGCTTATCTCTGGGCCCAGAACCTTCCCAGGAAGACCAGGGGAAGTCAAAAGGCACTGCCCTCTGTGGGATTCTCCCACCTGCCCTTCCAGCCTGGCCCATCCATAGCAACCCAACCTCCTGCTGCTGGGAGTGGATGTGCAGATCTTCGAGCCCAGCTGTGGGTGGCAGCTTCCACACTGTGGCGTTGACCCGGTCCTCCTCAAAGGACACCGTGTCCCCCAAGAAGTTCACAGAGGCCAGCTTCGACTCAAGACTCTGCAGCTGCCTGGTGAGGAGGAGGAGAGCATGGTGGGTAAAAGAAGAAAGGTGAAGGGAGGAGGGACCTGTACACAGGACAGGCAGGGACAGAGAGGGGAGGGGGCTAGGAACAGAGGAGACAAGGCAACAGAGTGCGGAGATGGTGGGGGGTTGTAGGAAGGGAAGTGACAGGTGACGGGGCGCTGTCCTGAGATTCAGCCCATCTCTCTGGCCCACTTCTGCCCATGCTAGTCCCAGGGCTGCCCAGTCACCCAGCCCCTCTCAGAGACACAATTTGCCAGACTCCAGGATAGATAGAGTGGTGAAAAGGTTAGGCACTGCCTGGCTGGGCACTGGTATCTGTCTTCACTGACAGCCCAGCAACACCAGGCCAGAAACAAGGGAGTTCCAGCCCCAAGGAAGACTCCTTAGTTTCTCTCAGCCCTGCCCGGACCACATACTCCCCTAGCCCCCGCAGTGGGGAGACAAACTCACTGGCTGATGAGCGTGGCCGAGGGCCTCCTGGAGGCCTTGTGAGGATGCTGCAGGAATCTGCTGAGCAGTTGCAACTCCTTCTTGAGCTCACACATGTCCACGGATGCATTGTGGGAGACTTTCTGGGGGGCATCTGGGGAGGTGATAGTCTGCTTGAGGTTGCGACCCGAGCCATGGCCAACATACCCCACCATGCAACCCCCACGGGGCGCTCCTGAAGCTTGTATCCACTTTACAGAGGAGGAAACCAAGGGTCTAAGAGGCAGAAGGGATCCTGAAACACAAGGGCAGCTGGGCAGGCTCTGCCTCCCAGGGCCTCTGGCAGCACATGAGCAGAGAAGGCTGAGGGCCCTGGCCCAGCAGGTGTCCTTGAGAAGCACACGGGTCCACGTGGCAGCACTGGGGACCCCACACCCTTCAGGCCTGATTTCAGGCTCCTCTGGCTAAGTCCCTAAGGACTTGAGTGTTTCCAGGGACATAAGGGGACCCAGGTAAGACAGGCAGACAAGGAGGAAGCAGCCCTGGTAACCTGGCTTTTTGAATCCGTAGCCCAGGAAGTCCGATTCTAGTTATAGGAAAGCCTGGCTCTTCTGTTTTTAAATCCTCTCCAGGGTCAACTAGACTGTGCTGCTGGTTCTTCGAGATCCCATCTTCTCCCAGACTGGGGCTCCTGCCTGGGAACTACCCCAGCTAGGTACCTCCACCCATGGATCTTCCAGAACTGGGACCTGTGACATCATGGGTTCTCTGTCCCCAGCCTGACATAGCAGGCCCCAGACTGAGCTACAGGGACTGAAGGGGGTCAAAAAATCCAGGACCCCTCAAGAAAGCCACAAGCACTTCCAGATCCTGCCCCTTCCCTCCCCCTACCAGTGTCGATGGAGGCAGAGGCCACATGGTCCCCCACCTGTCACATCTGGCAGAGGACATGGTCCCCCCGCCCCCACCAGCCTCTCTGCTTTCCTGACCTTTGATCATCTTATTCTCTTTGTCCCCACCAATCAGCTTCTAGATTCATACCCAATCCCTCCACCCATTAGCTATGCAGCTATGAACAGCCTCTGTGCCTCTGTCTCCTTATTGGTGACACAGGTGCAGGGAATGCCTACAGTCCATGTTGCTTCTGCCTACACTTTGATTTTTAAAGGTATTTTACTTGTGTGTGTGTGTGTGTGTGTGTGTGTGTGTGTGTGTGTGTGTGCATGTATGTGCAGTGCCCCTGGAGGTCAGAAAAGGGTGTTGGATATCCTGGAGCTGGAGTTACAGGTATTTGTGAGCTACCCGATATGGGTGCTGGGAAACAAACTTGGGTCCTCTGCAAGAGCAGCAAGTGCTCTTAACCACTGAGTCATCTCTCCAGCCCCTGCACTTTGACTACAGCTGGACCTTCTAGTGGCTGGAGACTGGCTATGTCAATGCTGACATTTTCTAGTGCTCCAGCTGGCTCCAGGTCTCCAGTGCAGCTGTTGAGATATCTGCTTCATCTCCCCATGGGACAACTGGAAACCGCTTGGGCTGCTGGTCCCAAGCCCCACACCCCACACAAGCTGTGCCGATGGCACAGTGACCAGGAACTCAGGTCAGCGGTCACCCTCCATCTAAAGCAGACCACAAGCATCTATCCAGAACCAGCCTGGGACCCAGCAAAAGCCCCAGCCAGCAGCTGGTGCCCATCTGTTGAATTTGCACTGTCCCCCACTCCCACATCCTGACGTGCGTGCGTGCGTGCGTGTGTGTGTGTGTGTGTGTGTGTGTGTGTGTGTACACCCATAGAACCTGTAAGTAATAAGCTCTTCCAATTCCTCTCTCTCTATGATGGTTAATATTGATTATCTACTTGACAGACTCTAGAATCACCTAGAACACAAGCCTTTAGGCATATCTGTTAGGGGCTATCTAGATCAGGTTAGCCTCTGGACAGGCCTGGGAGGGGTTATCTTGATTAGGTTAACTGAGGTGAGAACACTCATCCTAAATGAGGGCACCATTCCCTGGACTTAAGAGGAAGCTAGCTGAGCTCCAGTGACCATGGCTTGCTGCTCCCTGACTGTGTATGCAACCAGCTGCCTCAAGCTCCCACCACCAGGACATCCTGACCATGATGGACTGTACTTTAGAACTGACATCCAAAATAAACCTTTTCTCTCTTAGGTTGCTTTCATCAGGGTATTCTATCACAGCAACAGGAAAAGAAACTAAAGCACTCTCCTAATCACTGAAGGGACATCGTCCATTTCAATGACAGGGACAAACAGTCCATAGAGGGGCTGATGAAGTCCCTGTGGTACCTGCTACACAGCTTCACCTTCTTGCACCCCTGCTCTGCCACAGAGCTTCCAGAAGCTCTCCTTGGCTTCCACTCCTCCCTTCCTCAGACACCTTCCATGGCTACCTACTACTGGAGGATGCCTGGGTTTGGTGACCTGTCCATCAGAATCCAGGTCCTCCCCAGAATGCCCTCCGTCAGCGCCCCCATTCCCACCCCCAACTACTTCTCCGTCCTTACTGTGGAAGGAGAAGGTGAAACTGGGAGCCCCAGGCAGGCTGGTGTTCTGCGGGCTCCACCAGGAGCTGACAGATGTGGCGAAGAGTGGGGCTCCCTGCTCCCGGCTCTGCTCCTGGTTCCGGAAGCAGAGGAGGCTGGAGGCCCGGCTGCTCAGCACGTAGTCCTGCTTGCCATAGCGCAGGTGGAGCTTCCCGGTGTGGCGGCTCCAGTAGAGGCAGAAGTGATAGAGACCTCTGCGCTCTGGGAGCTCCCAAGAGACCTCATGGGCAGCAGGGAAAGGGGCACGGATCGTGAGGGTCTCCTCCGTGTTCCACACAACGATGTGCAGCTTTGGAGACTGGTCGTAATGAAGCTTGCTCAGCTGTGTCTGGTTCCTCTGGCCGCAGAAGCGGAAGTCTTCCCGGGGACTGACACCATGGGCACCTGACGAGGCAAAGACTATAGCTGGGACCAGCCACCTGGCCAGGGAGGGACAAGATCTGGGACTCCCACACATTCCAAAGCAGCACACTTTAAGGGTCTACAACAGTGTCTATCGTGTGCAAAAATTACTAGTTTCAAAATATGAAACAAGAGAACTGAAAAGAGAATGATTTCCAAAGCAAAAGCACAGTTTAATAGCACTGAAGCACTTAATGACATATACTGTTGCACACGTGTGCACTGCTCAAGAACGCTCCCCAGGGGCCTGGAGAGATGGCTCAGTGGTTAAGAGCACTGGCTGCTCTTGCAGAGGACCAAGGTTTGGTTCTCTCTGCACTCACATGGCAGCTAACAACCCTCTGTAACTCCAGTTCCAGGGACTCTGATGCCTTCTTCTGACCTCTGTGGGTATTACACTTATGTGGTACACTTACATACATGCAGGCAAAGCACTCATACACATAAAACAAAAGTAAATAAATAAACAATGCTTCCTGAAAAGGCAAGAGAGGCTAAAATCTACTTCGTGCTCCCCACCCCAAGCTGTGCTTTGTGGGCCATATCCAGAAGGAAGGGGTGCCTTCATTTCCTCTAAGGTGCCCTGAACCAGCTAAACTCTATTTGCAGACCCATTCCTGCCCCAAAAGGTCAGCAAACATGCTGGCAATTACCCTAGACATGGGGATATTGAACAAAAGTCACAATAGTCCCAGGGCCCCCAAGGGAGCTTACCTTGAGTCAGACAGATCAGACTCAGAAGGAAGAGTGCCCTGTGCACCTGGACAGCCATTGTTCCCTGGAAGCCACCCTGAGCTGTCACCACCTGCAAGAGCAAGCAAGAATATTAGGACCAGGGGTGGCCAAGCCAGCACCACAGTACAAGGCCAGCACATGGGTGCAGTACAAGGCTGGCGGCTGTGCAGAAATGGCCATGGGCGTCCCCAAAGTGGCCAGAGGCTGAGTGTCATGAGGTAAAGGGACCATCAAGAGGGAGAGGGAGGGGTTGGAATGGCTCAGTAATTAAGAGAGCTAGCAGTTCTTGCAGAAGACCCAAGTTCAATTCCCAGAACCCACATGGCAGCTAACAACCACCTGAAACTCCAGTTCCAGGGTATCCAACACCCTCTTCTGTCCTCCACAGGCACTGCACAATACAAGTACACATATACATGCAGGCCTAATATTTGTACACATAAAATAAAAACAAATTTAAAAAAATTTTAAGGCGGGAGAGCCATCTCCTCCCTGCATTTTGCTGCTGTGTCACAGTATACGTAGCCCACAGAGGGTTCCAGAAGTAATAGGATAGTTTTGTCTAGAAACTTCCTGCAGCCACTGCCTCAGCTCTGGCAGGCCTGAAGGAGATGCAGGGCTGCCAGAGTTCTCCCCAAGGAACCCATATCACAGTCCCTGAGGCCCAGCTACCAGAAGCCAGCCTGGGGATCAGTCCTAACTGCCTTTGGTTGCCCCTGTTGCCTGGGCCCTTTCTTCCCCTACAGGCTGGCATAGTCAGTCCCTCCTCGGTCAGCCAGGGGGATCCTGGTGGTCCCCAGTGACAGTGCCTGGTATACAGGCTGCAGCCGAAAGGCTGAAGGACAGACGACTAGAAGGTTCAGTGTGGCCATGGTTGCCCTTTAAAGGAACTATAAGGACAAGGTGATTTCCATCATGCCCACCCGGGGAAACCAGCCACCATGGTTGTGGGGGGTGGAGAGCTGGAGCAGAGGGGTGGTGGCCTTCTCCATGTGGCCCTGCCCCATGAGGATCAGCTATGCTTACTCCTAGGACTCCAAGGACAACTATTAGCTGGCTACCAGCCTGGATGCTTCTCCAACCTCACCTGATGAACCTCACACCAATCTGGAGGATGGGTGCCATTGCTGACCCTCTTCACACATGGGGAATGGAGACCCAAGTTATTTAATTTGCCTAAAAACACTTGGAGGCCAGGAACTTCCCCTGCCTGAAGGACTGTCATGCTAGATACTAAAAAAGAGATGGCTTGGCCCTTGCAGCTGGCCTAGTGACCAAGCTGGGTGCTGACATACCTAACTGCCATCTGTCGGCCTGTGGGGAACTATGTCTGATCATAGTGACAGATACAGTCATCTGCCACAAGCCAGGCAAAGGAAAGCCTGGGTACTTAGGACACACAAGGAGCCCAAGCTTGGGAGGAATCTAGGAGGGCATCCTGGAAGAAGAGGCCTTTGCACTCAGCACTGGAGATCTAGGTGGCCCAAGTAGGATCTAGTTGTCTCTTACCTGGGCCAGCCTCACTTCAGGCACCCTGGTCCCTCAAGTGAAAGCTCCATACCCAAACATGAGAAACAGAACCCTGATTTCCCAGGTCTTGGGGGATAATCACAGGTCCATAGTCCTAATATGGTGCTGAGACATCATGGGGCTTCTGAAAGGAGGAAAGTTTGGGGAAATGCTACTGTTTCCTATGCTGGGAGCTTAAGTTTTTCCTATTATCTTTGTCAAACTGCTTTCTGCCACTTCGGAGCAGCAGAAGGAAGCCCAATATCTGGGGTCAGACCAGAACACCGCCCCCAGCCATTTTCCTTCTTTCTCTCTATCCAACCCCCAGTCCAAATGTCACTTCTAGGTAGACCCCTTGGTTTGATCACTGCCTCCACCCATAGACTTGAAGCTCACAAATCACTTTGAGAATCTGGTCCAATCTCCATTTATGTTTGGATCTGAGGCCCAGAGAAGGCCAGTGACTTCATGAGGTCACACAGCTGGCCAGGACTCATGTGCCTCTCAAGGTGAGCCACCCCTGTCAGCAGACAGGGCCTGAGACGGGGCAGATCTGTCTCACATCAACCCTCCCAAATTGGCTCTTGAGCAAAAGAGGTAGGAAAGGAAAAGCACACCCAGAACAAAGGGGCACAAATAAGGCTGTGGCGCCCTGGGGACCCATGGAGGGGATCAAACGCAAATGGGGGGCCAACATCCCAGCCACCTCTCTATTCCACCCTTGTTGTGTGCAGCCACACTAAGGACAACTGTCCCCATCTACATTCTTGGGGTTTGGTGAGGAGGGGTTGCTTGGATCCCTTTTGGCTACCTTTAGCCAGAGGAATGTACTCTGAAGCCAGATTACCTGGGTTCAAATCTCAGCTCCCACACTTACTAGCTATGTGTCCTTGGGCTACTTCCTCACCATCTCTGGGCTTCATTTCCTTCACCTCTAAAGAAGATCACAAATTAAGCCTACCTCAAATGTCATTGTGGGAATAGGACTATTCCCATTCGCCATCTCCAATGGGGGGCCATCACATAGAGGGGGACCAGGGTCGCACACAGCAGGCACCTCAGAAGTCAGATTGTCTCTGTGTACCTTCTGACCAGAGTGTGCCTGTCCCTGATACCCCTCCCCCCAACTCACCATCCCCTGCTTCCTAGTCCTATGCAAGTGGCCAGCTCAGTCTCCAGAGCACTTCAGGGGAAATTCCTGGAACATGAGCCTCCCTTCCGGGCAGAGCAGGGAAGTCTGTGACTCCACCCAGAAAACTTCCCTCCTCCTAGTTGGCCCTAAGTGTCACAGACCCCCAAGAGCAAGGGGGGAGGGCTCTGCATACAAGGAAGGGACATCCAGGTGAGCCAGAGAGGGCACTGTCCTGCTTGTTCACTTAGTGCCACACATCCCTGCCTATGCTTCTCCTAGGGCTGCCCACATGTGTGCACCTGCTACCCAGCTCCACATCCCAAAGAGCACAGGCTGTACCTATGATTGGGGCCCCCAGTGTTTCCTACAAGCATCCTAAGGTCTGCTACCTGGACCAGCCAGGAAAGAGGAGCCCCTGTGTTCTAGAAATCAAATCCCAGAAGCAGGGGCCCATCCATGAGCCCCAGAGAAGACGGGGGACCGACTCTGGCCTATGCAGGTGAACAGTAAAGCAGATTGCCCTCAGCCATCATACATCTTAGTATCAAGTACCAGGCCACAGCAAGATTGTGTCACTACCTATATGCTGTTTAAAGGCAGAGGAGTCATTGAGAGGGGGTCAGCAGCCTCATCCAAACATCTAGAGCCTGACCCAAGTCCCACAGGCTTGCCATTTTACAGAAATAGAAACTGAGGCTGGAGAAAAGCCATCTCTCCCAAGAGCACATGGAGCTGGTGCCAAGCCCTCCCCTTAAGGCCCAGCTACATTGGTAAAGGTCCCTGAGGCATATAACCCCTTAGCTTGGGGTACCCCAAAGAGGAGAGAGAAGTGGGAGCTGTGGAAATCACAGGCACATAGGCGAGTCTGGCCTGGAGAGAGGGTGTAGGGCAGCGCCCCCAGGAGGAGCCCCTACCTCCATCTCCCCTTCCGGACCAGCCACCCTTGACCTCAGCCTTCCGTAAACACACAGAGAATAGAACAAGCTGATCCAGCCTGATACAATGGGGACCATCTCGGGTCCCCAGGGGTCCCCAGGACAGAGGGCAGCCAGGACTGTGTGAGCCAAGACACCCCTATGCCCCCTCTGGCTAACTGCTGGGAAAGGGGCTCCAGCTGGACCTAGCCCTGCCCTCTCTCTTGATGGGCAGCAGCCCCAGGGCTCACTTTCTCCCCCAGGGTCTGAGTCACTTCCTCTGCCATCCTGTGCAGAGCTGTGTCACAGAGTCATGGCCAGCTCGGCCCCAGCTCCTGGAAAATCCATTTCCTCCGAGGAGGGAGGTGGAAGTTGAATGACTGGGACTGAGAGAGCTGGGTTAACCCTTCCCAAGTGGTCACTTCTCGTATGTCCAATGGGACCTGGTCCCCCTCCTGCCCTCTCTCCTTTGCACCCACTGGGGTCACAGCCCAGGCCTTGCTGGGTTATCCTGGGCTCTGAATGGCAGCCTTCCACTGTGACCTTCAAGCTCACCTTTGACAAGATAGAGACATGCCCTCCAAGAAGCTTCTGATCCCTGTGCATGCCCATCAGAGTATCCAGCCTCCCCCAGTCACATTCAATTGTATAACTCCCTGTCAAGAGCTAGTTCCATCAGACATCACCAAACCTGCCTGTATGCTAGGATCAGCCTTGGGATGATGCTTCAAAAGACATACCCCAGGCCCTGTGCCTCTCAACTTGAGTGAGCCTCAGAGGCTAGCTTCAGCAGGTTCTAATGACTGAAAGGCCACACTTGGGAACTATGGGTGCGCAGTAGTTAGGCCTGGGGAATATCAGGCCGGGTGGGAGCCTGTTCTGCTGTCACTTGACTGGGAAAGGGCAGAACCTGTACCGGGGGCAGTGGAATCCTGCTCCCCCAATTCCCGTTCCTTCCCATGACGAGGATGCATTTAGCCGGATGCTGGTCATCTGAGTAGCTCCCACAGGACTTCCAGAAGAGGAAGACAGCCCAGAGGAGGAAGGAAGAAGCCACCATGCCAGGCTCTGGGTCTGAGCCTCCTGTCAACCCAGGGCCTGTCTGGGGAGGTTGAGGAGAGATCTCAGCTTGGCATCAGCCACTCTCCCACACAGGGCTGTGGACACTCTGGAGAGTTACAGAGGCTCAGGGAAGGGACAGGGGAGGACAGGGACCTGCAGTGCGTCAGCATGCAAAACGGTGCATACACAGGTCCTGTGTCCCAGTGTGCATGCCCATGAGCATGCAAGGGGACAACGAGGAAGGTAAAGAAGGCTGGGGTGGGATGGAGGGAGCTAGAGTAGGGGGCTTGGACACATCTCTGAGGCCAGAGTGGAGGTACATGAGGTGGGCAGAGGCTCTCAAGTGCAGCCTCAAGCTCAGAAAATTCTCCCTCCAGTACTTTCCAGGCTTGGCTATTGGTAAAACTCCCTACTTAGAAGCAGCACATACACAGCTGCTCAAAGGAGATGCCT